AGGAAACTCTTCTTGGCGCGAATCACCACCCCGGTGGTGATTCCAAGCATGTCACATTGGGCTCGCCAGGTTGTGCAGCGAGGAACAAGGAATCGAAAAAAAGAAAGGTGAAAATTGGGGCTCTGAAAAGAGGATGTCCAAACCTCCACACCCCGGCAGTGGTGACGCTTATCTTTCGACAACGATCAAGTAGCGCATCGCATTGCAGAGGATTTCACGATATGAGCAGCTCGACCAGCGCTGCCGCAGGAGCGGGCAGCGAGGAGTGTTTGGACTGTGCACCCACATCCACCACCACTGCATCCGACCAGCCTATCGTCTCTTCGGTGGAAGACCCACTGGACGTACGAACCTTTATCCCGCCTCTCACCCTCTCGCCTCTGCACCTCCCGACGCCACTAGTCACCATTGAAGTAAGCCTGCTCTCCCTTTGTCCATGCTTGTAACTCGATACTGACGTTGGGGGAGTATTGAAGTACTGCGTTCGGTGTAAGTTCGGCCTGCGCGCCAACTGGATGCAGCAAGAGCTGCTATCCACCTTTGCGCCCAGCTCGGACTCGGCGGGGATTGGAGGTGTACTGCTCGTTCCCAACGCACGCACCGAGGCAGCCGGCCGCTTCCGGGTCTACCTCATCAACGACGCCGCGCAGACGCTGATTGTCGATAGGAAGGTCAACGGCGGATTTCCGGATGTCAAGATGGTCAAGCAGAAGATCAGGGATGCCATTAGTCCGAGCCGGGATCTGGGGCATTCCGACAAGCCCAAGCAATGATGCCATCCACGGCCGCAGGCAGCAGATGCGACAAGTCCAACGTCGCTCGGGCTCAGTATGCGCTGGGCCGCACTGCGACGGCAACACAGCCCGCGACCGCTGTACGATCCCACCCAGTCTGCCCGCGCTACCATAAGATCGATCCGCGCACCAAGCTCTCGCAGCCGAGCTCCAGCAGCTACCATCCGACCTCCTCCAGAGCATCTCACAACGCCCAAAAGTTCCCATTGCGAGTCGATCTTGTCTAGCTTGCCCGAGTCCTACACTCGACGCTGCATTGGCAACTACGCTCAGTGCGACTGTACCGTCACAAAACACTCTGCCCAGCCTTCTTCCGTCCAGTGGCCTGTAGAGTGCAGGTCTGACGCGCAGACATGCCGTGAGTCGGAGTGGACAACCTTGCTCGCCCCTGCTTGCCTTTGCTCTGCTTTTGCCGAGCTGTGTGTCCAAGTTTGCGTCGACGGCGCGTGGCGGTGGTTGGGTTTGATCGTTGCCTCGTCGGGTCTGTCATTGGCTGTTTCGCCATCAGGGTTGCCGTTCCGATGCTTGCACCTGCGTTCGACACCCACAAGACCTCAACGCTGCCCTGCGTGCTGGATGGACGCGGCTTTTGCGATGCGCCATCGCCCGCCCACTGTTCTACTGCTTGCCACTCGGTCAATTCACCAACGCGATCATCAGCATTCCGCACTGCGCAATGCCTCGCACACACCGCGCACGCTCGCTGCCGCCACTGGCCATTGCAACCCAAGCAAATCGTACTTGTCCATCCGGGCGAGCTTCTACTGGCTGCGCGCATAGTTTCTCCCCGAGCTGGGTCTGCCGGGCGGTCTGGCCACCCAGCCCATGGCGGCAGTGATGCCCCTCAGCAGTTCGGGCCTGTACCGCGCCGCCGCGACCACCACACCGACAGCGGTACCGAATGTCATGCGCTCTGCCCACAGCGCCGACCTGTGCCCCTGACTCAGCCATCCCGGCTTGGCACTCTCCGCCGTCGCAAACAGCGCGCGCGGGGCGACGTAGAGAGCCATCTCTGCGCGCTTGCGCTTCTCCTCGATAAAGATGCTGAATCCGCACGCGATGCTCCCGAGCGCCTGCCCAATGCCCGCATCCCAAAACGTAAAGGGCACGCCGGGCAGCCATCGCGGCACCACCGACCGCGCCAAGCAAATCGGGAACCAGTTGCCCACGATGAACGTCGCCAAAAACGCCGCCGACCTCGCCGCACCCATGAGCGTCTTGAGCATATTGGCCAGCGGCGCTGATGCGAATCCACGCGGGTTGAACAGCAACCTCGGCAGCAGATGCACAGGCACATAGATCGCCATGCTCATCCTCCAGCCGCGCAGCCACCTGTAGAGCGCATTCTTGTAGCAATTCGCACCGCCCGTGCCACAGTGCACCAGCTCGCACGGCATCCCACCCATCTCTCCCCTGCCCCTCGGCCCTGCCGCGCCGTTGAGCACAAAGCCGTCCAGCTCGGCCACCTCTTGCCCCGCCACGCGCTTTGCTGCTGCTTCTGCACGTGCCTGCTCTGCCATCTCACGCGCCTCGACAGCAGTGTTGGGCAGCCTCGTAGGATCGCCCCACTGGTACGGATGGCCGAGCTCTTCCGCAAGACTACCCAGCAGGTGCACACCCTCTGGCGTCATCTCTTTGCTCTGATACGCCCAGTGGAGCGGCTTGCCGCTTCGGATGCAGCGCAGCGCGAGCAGCAGCCGCTCGTCCATGGTGGCGAGGTTGGTGATCCACTTGACGTACGTCGGCGGCAGACGCTCCGGGTGGTAGAACCACGACCACATGATCTGTGCGCAGCACACCACAAACACCAGCCCCTCGGTCTGGTCGGCCAGCCCGAGTGCGACGCTGCGCAGCAGGGCGCGTGCACGCGAGCGCCGAGCCGCCGTCGTTGCTGCCGTCGCAGATGCCGATGCACGAAGCCGGTTCTTGCTCGCAGCGGCAGGCGCGGCGAGCGCACGCACGAGCGTGTCCATGCCGCGCACGAGCGCAAACAGCGTGAGGTCGATGGTGGGGCTCGGCCTGCCCAGTGGCGGCTTCGCGCCCGGCTGGACTGCCGCAGCGTCCTCCGCCGTCGGCACTGGATCTTGCGACGCGCGCGGAAGAGGCGTGAGCGTGGCCGAGGGCGAAGGTGGAGCCCTTGGATCCGGACTGACCGGCACCGAAGGGCTGACACCTTGCGAGCCCGGCGTGAGGCCCGGCGTGGCGGGGACGGTGAGGCTGGTGAGTCGCGAGAGAAAGTGGCCAGCGGGCGCGAGACTAGCGATGCGAGGCACATTGTTGGCATTGAGCCTCCTGCCCAAGAATCCGAGGTTGGAAGGCCTGATGCTCTTGGGGATCCAACCGGGCGTGGTGTCGATGGTAAGCAGCGGTGCACCCGCTCCGCCCTGAGCGGGAGCCTTCTTTGCCTGGAGTGCAGCGTCGCTCTGGTGCTGGAGCATCATCATAGCCAGCGCCGAGCTGAGCGACGACGCGACAAAGGTTGCTGCGATGCGCGCCTGGCGCAGGGCATTGACGGTCTGCGCCTCGCTCGACGTCGCCGGGTTAGCCAGCTTCAGCGCATAGTATTTTGCAATCGGCCACCACACGAGCGATTCCGAGATGCGCCAACCGGCCATGGCGAGGAAGCAGCTGATAGCCATACCGTTTGTGCCGAGGGCGACGACGAGCGCATTGGCGATGGCGTGGAGCAGCGTGGGTAGACGGTAGAAGCTGGGCAACACCGACTTGAGGCCGTCGAGCACGCGCGGCTTGGCGTGGGGCTGGCCGGACTCCTTTGCGTACCTGCGCTCCTCGAGCAGACGCTTTTCGTCGGCGCGGATGCGCTTGAGCTCGGTGGTGACGAACTTGATGAGCGCCTTGAGGATGGCGGGGAGGATGTCCATGACGTAGCCGAGTAAGTATGCCTTGCCCGCTGGCATGAGCAGCGACTCGAGCTGCTGGCGCGCGATGGTGGCGTTGCGCGCCTGGGATGCTGGCGGAGCTGCCCGCGCCGCACGCTTTGCGACAGTCATGGCGGGCAACTTCCGATACACTAGAGATGATGGAGGCGAAAGAGGGAGGAGGAGGAGGAGGAGGAGGAGGAG